GTGGGGGTAGCTCCTTGCCTAGCCTTTTCCAGTTGCCAACCCCATCTTGTCCACAGCTAACTTCTCCCTGCCTTCCCTAAACCTTTTCTCCTCACTACTGGATGGCATTAAGCCTGGCACACAACGTGCCTTAAACACTACGAAGTGCAAAGCCTTCTGATGTGACACTGAAACCTGGAGTGAATATAACCTACAACAAAATGAGCAAATTGCCTCTGTCTGCATGAGCTCCTGCTGGAATCTGTCACTGGGTGAGCGCTGGAACCGATGTCCATCCTGACACATCCCTGTGGGTGGCAGTCCTGGGCAGGTGTCATAAAAGGTCTCTATGGGATTCTTCCTTCCACTCCCAAGACAACAGTGGGATACCACTAGGCTGTGATGGGTCACGTGCATTTGCCTAGTGCCAGAGGGTTGGCTGATGTGGCCTGCGCCATCAGGTATAAGTATGAGGAACCCTATTTGGAAGAGTGGCTACTGTGGAGGATGCCGGGAGGAGAGAGGCTATAAATACTTTTAGGAATATCAAATAATATGGAAGAAATGTGTCTACTTGACACGAGTGCCAAAAGCTCTCTCCTCTAAATTTAGCCAAAGTGTTCCTTTATTTGCGAGCCAGGTGGGAAAGGCGTAACAGAGACGGCCCCTTGTTCTCAAATGAGCTATGACCGTATAGACAGCTCTGGGCGCTATGCGGAAGCCCGAGGGCCTCAAAGCGATTCCTGGCACTGTCCATTTATCTTTTTATTCTCCCATACGTAGACAAGCTCATGGTTTGGGCAAAGCCTACTTATTTTTCTTGAACTTAATGTATTTTTAAATCAACGATGATCACCCACGTAGCCCTCTGGGAGAATCTGACTACGTGTGAGTGGGATGCCCCCTGAGACACAAGTCTGAAGAGAAAGGGAGATGCTGAGGCAAAGGTCAGGCTTTTGCAGTCAAGAAGGGCTGGGTTTTCCCCAGGCCATAGCTTTTCTAGTTTTAGGTTCTAGGCCACTTGAGCAGTGCTAGGCATGAGTTCCAGCTTGTGGAGTAGGTCCTAAATCCAATTAGAGAGTGGTAAACTCAATGGTGGTTCTGTAGATTTTTCTTTGTCTCATATTGATTTGTTGGGGACATTTTCTATCTTACTGGTCTTTTTCATGTATGTTGTGCTGTCTTTCCTTTTTTCTTCTTTTTTTGTTTTTTTTTTCAAGACAGGGTTTCTCCTTGTAGCCTTGGCTGTTCTGGAACTCACTCTATAGACCAGGCTGGCCTTGAACTCACAGAGATCGGCCTGCCTCTGTCTCCTGAGTGCTAGGGTTAAAGGCGTGCTCCACCAATGCCTGACTTTGTATATTGTGGTTTTTAACTTTGTGTTTTCCTGGGTTCTGAGTCTGTGTGTGTGTGTTTCCTATTTCTCTTCCACTTTTTAAAAAAAATTCTGTCATTTTTTTTTTTGCTTTTTAAAAAATTGCCTGTTTATTTTCTAAAAAGAGAGAGGAAGAAGCCGGGAGTCGGATGGACGGCAGTGTGGCGAGGACCTGAGTCTTGTGGGGGAGGAGAACCACTATGAGAATATGTTGTATGAATTTTATATTAAAAAAGTAAAGACAAAAAAAAAAACCAGAGCTAGTCTTGAAAGGCCCAGCTTGGACAGTGTGTGCCCAGAGCCCAGCTGGAGTCTGTCCTAGTGCTCAGGGCATCTGTGGGGGCGCTACACTTGCCATGGTTTCATATTTCAACGAGTCTGTGAAACAGCCCCGAGTCTGAAGTATTTAAAGGGTGGGAAGTACAATTTGGAAGAATTACTCATTTTGGCTTTGGCCCATCACTTCCATTGCCTTTTGGGTTAAAATATTTTGACTTTTTAATCCATTATTATAAATTTATGCTATTTGAAGAATCTCTGAAATGTTTAATTAAGGACAAAAATAGTTCTTCAGAGTAGAATGCACGAGGGATCAGAAACGGTGCCTCACACAGGCAGGGTTTAATTATAGCCCCCCAACTCCTGGAAGCACCAGATGGGCCGAGGAGTTTCCAGGGTCTCTAGACACACCCTTCCTGAGTGTGACCTAGGAGAAATCAAGGCAGAGGGAGGTCTTATTCTGCGAGGACGCACTGGCGCCTCCCGCATCCCCGGCAGCCTTCATAACCGGGGAGGGCTCAGAACGTAGGCTCCCAGAGATCTCTGTCCACAGAAGGCTTGAGCGAGTGTCTGGCCCGTGCCTCCCCCAGGGACCTGCACAGGGGGCTAGGATGATGGTGCTGACAGTTTTAAGACACAGCTCAGCACCCGCACATCTGGCTATGTTCAGATATATGAAGCAAAGCCCATACGCAGGCTCGTAGGGCAGACAATCCCATCTAGATGTGGGAATCCTCCCAAACTTACACCCTCACGGGAACCTCGAGACTCATGGCCGCTTGACCTGCCCACAGGGCCCCTAAGCAGGTGATGTGTCTATGTTGATCAGCTTCACAACGACAGAGCCAGGGCCCCTGCCCCACAGCCGTCATCGCTGGTCTGTATCAGAACGCGGGACACTCAGCACAGAACCAGCGCTTGAGCTGAGAGGATGCCTCACTCCCAGGAGGCGAGGACAGCTTCTTGGAGACAACCCACTAAACTGCTTCAGGGCAGCTTGGGACTATCTCAGGAGCCCCGACTTTATTCCACACACTTGAGTTCTCAGATGGGCTTTTGCCCATCTTCATATCCAGTGAGAAAGGGGCTACTAGTAATGCCGACCTCAGTGGTACAGGCCAGGTCACTCGGCTTCATCTTTTGCGCTCCTACCAAAGCCTCTTGTGGGATTGGGGGGATATATTTCTGGGAGCCCACATATAAAAAGGGTGAAACACTAAACGTCATTTGGCAGCAAGGTGACATCAAGGACGTTGCCACTAGCAAAAGGGGCAGAAGCAGCCATCTTGGGGGGTTGGTAGATGAGGAGGAAGCAGGGAAGTCTGAGGGTTCTGGACTTCTAGTCACAACAAAGGATGCAAGCCACCTTAGTGACCACCCATCTGCTTTAGTCGTCTCTCTGCACCTGGACTCCAACTGCACCCAAAGCAGCTGCCATTTGTCTGTCTTCAGGTTAGCGAACCTCCACTTGGGGTTGGTCTCCAGGACGTGTGGGTGGGGCTCAGTGACATGAAATTCAGAACACTCTGTAATCACTAAGTCTGGATCACACAATCGTCCCGTGCGCTCGGCACCAGGCTCGACACGGGGCGGGGGTGGGGCGAGGGAGTGAGGGGTGCCACCCACGGCTTTTCAGTAATCATAGCCACAGAGAACATGGGATGTGCTTGTCACAGAGAAGCTAAAGGCAGTGATTATGCACAACAGAACAGGCAGGCAGGCAGCGCCACGGCGTCACCGTCCAGAAAAGAAACCCGCTTCCTTAGGGCGGGGCACCGAGGGATGCCGCACAACAGAATCAGCTGTGTGAAGCCTGGGGGACGGGAGGGACATAGGTTTGCCCTTCCCACGTCTGACCAGGGGTTTGTGCACAGGATCCTGAGTGGGTGGGGTAGCGGGTAAGAAATGAGCTGGCGTCTGTTCGAATGAGAGGAACCGTGGCCTCCAACACACTGCTGGTTCTCTTGTCAGCTTTGTTTCACTGTGCAGGGTGTGCAATGTGGTACCCTCTCCATGGTGTTCTGAGTGTGCTAAATGGCCGGTGACCCAGCCAGAATCCCAGCCCAGAGCAGAGACTTCCAATAACACAGCTGAAGAGGATAGGAGGAGTCCAGTGGTCCCCTGTCTAGTGGAAATGTCAAAGCCAAGTGACTCAGGTGGATGAAGGCCAGCGAATTACAGAATTCCTCCAAGATTGAGCACCCACCCGTGGAATTGGTGCCATCAAGCCGGAGAGATAGGCAATGGTATTTTGCCTGGCTCACAATACACCTGCAGCTCTGAGGCTGCTGTGCCACTAACTACGGGCCGGTGTGTAGGAATGCTGCCTGCCCTCCGCCAGTGCAACACTGACAAAGACACGGCATTTTCTGTCCTTGAGTTTCACAATCTGCTGGCTTTAAATTGTAAATCTTAATGAAGAAAGGGAAGCAATTAGTCTGGGGGAAAGGAGCAACTGGGCCAACTCCCCGAAGCAGCACGGCTCACACGGATGGTGGGGGAGCACTCGTGACAGGCATCAGTGGCGGTGCTGTGCCTGGCTATGAGTCTCTGTAGAGTCTCCTCTATAGCCGGTACCTTACTGAGCAGTCAGCATGTCTGAACATACCTGACTGTGCGTTTGCAAGGAGCTGAAGTCCTCCTTGCAGCGAGAAGCTGACCCAGGCTGTGGAGGAGACAACGATAAACACACGACGGACGGTGCTACAGACATGCCCTAGTCTGCCGGAGTTGGGATGGAGCCAGGCAGAGGTACAGGCCTGATTGTGGGTGCACTCTCATTAGGAATGTCCCTATCACCAACCATTGCATTCTTACAGAAAAGATCTGCCCACAGATGTGGTACTCTCCACCTTAGAAACGGTTGGGTGAGTGCTGTAGCTATGACCGGAGGGACTCTAGGCGCTTGGCAGGGGTGACCTGAGATGAGACACCAGCAGCTTGGACACGGCCTCTGAGCTTACAGAGATGTCTGGCACTGTACTCCTATCTCTGGGGGTCAGACTAAGCACCGTTGAACCAGCTTCCGGGGAACCCAGGTGGTAGCAAAACTGTAAATGGAACGAAGAGACACAGACAGCAGGGGGGGGGAGGGTGCCTTGCTCAGGAGGCCCTAGAAGAGCTCGTCTGTGGCAGGGATAGCTCACTTACAGGAGACTTTACCAGCCAGACGTGCTGACAGGTAAGGAGAGAGGCCTTCCTGGGCCTCCAGAATCATGCAGAGCCAGCAAATCCCGAAGGCCGGGTGGTATCAGTGGGCGAGAGGGATGGAGAAGATGCACTGCTACAGAAGGAAGGAGGGCCGCGGAGGATGTTGTCTGTTTGCAGTGTCAGTGAGCGGAGCTTGTGTGGCCGTCGGGGCACCTACCTTACTCTCATCCTCCGGGTCGTTGTAGCCACATGCATCGATGAAATCTGGAAATGTCTCCGACCACCCATCACTAGTGCAGTTTTTGCTTATGTTTCCTGGAAAGTAAAATTCAGATGTTTGGCCCTTGCAAAGCAGCCTCATGATGAAGGGTGAGGGGACAAGCTGAAGCCCTAATCAGCAAGTGACTGAGACCACCCAGAAGTCCTTGCTCGGCTGCCCTGCACTGCTTACTCCCTGAGACATGCCTGCCAGGGCCAGGGGAGACGGGGGGGGGCACGGGAGGACGTGACACAAAGTGGCCACAGTGTATCACAAAATGGTAAAAGCAGAAGCAAGTGCTGATTACAATTGTATCACAATAGTTACAACCGCTGAAAGTGCAGAGCTGTCTTTCTTCAGCCTAACCTAAGGCCCTTCGCAGATTCTGACTTCTGTGCCTATTGGAGTGGTGGCGGCCAGGCCCTGGCTCTTTGGAGCTAGCTAGCTCTCTTCTTTAGCTTTAAATCCTCCCTCCCCTTTTCCATTTGGCCCGATCCCCACCCTTCAATGCCTAAGAAGCAGTGTAGGGCAGTTTTCATGTGGCTGTCAGCTGGAGGAAAATCCGTGGTTAAGGTTTAAATAGCAAGAAAGCATTTTTGTTCCTAAATAATCTCAAATTTGTGGTAAATTCAGAAACGAATCATTCACTCTGTTTACAAAGAACGCGGCAGATGGCCACCGAGAGCAGAAAGAATATGAAGTTCTGGACAGACCTGGTGGGAAAGGGACAGACGAGGACAGTAGAGATTTGAACTGACCAGGCCAGATTCTTATTTCGGGCACCCAGGGAGCAGGAGATGGGCTTTCTGACTCAAGGGCCCTGCAGTTTTTCCTACATGGTGCGGTGACCCATTCACTGGTCCCGAGCAGTCTGCAGGCACCGAGAGCTCATCCCTTATCTGGCAATGTGCATTATAGCAGCTCCCTCCAGGCTGGTGAGGGACACACCGCTGGGCAGACTCAATTCCATAGTCTCTGGAGGATTCTAGGTCCTAGTCCCCCATTACCATCCTTGGGGACCTACTAGTGTCCTTCCTATGGACTCTGACTCAGGCCCCACCTGACCTGTAGATATTCATGGTGGAGCGTCTCTTGTCCCTTGTGGCCAAGCCCCTCAGGAAGATGCTGATGTCTGGACTGGGTGCGAGTTTGTAGAGGACAGAATCTTGCAAGTGGCTGATCCCCGCTAAGATGACAGTGAACGACCAATGAGTTAGGTTAGAGACACAGTTTCCCAGTGGGAGAACAGGCCTCTCCTCTCACAGCTTCCCTCCATTTCAGTCTGTGTTTACTACTCTACACTTTAACATTGGCATTCCTTAAAGTTTTTTTTTTTGCCTCTTAGTGTCTGACCAGGTGAAACAAAATATCCAGTTTTCCAAAACATTGCATTTTCCTTTTTTTTTCCCTCTAGCTGTGTCTTCTAATCTGTGTTTTTATAGACAGATTCCTCCATGTTGTAAAAACCTGGATCCTGTGCCACGGACGAAAATGACACAATGGAAGCCCAGATCCTGAGACATTCTTAAAGAACAACATAGCACAGAGAGGCTGAGATGGCCCCAAATTCTCTAAACCCCAGTAAACAGAATTTACTCAGCAGGAACATACGTTGTGTGGTGGCCCAAATTCTCTACCTAACCTTACAACCTTGTGAGAATCTCCCTCAGTCTAACAGTAACCCCCCTCCCTAATCCCCATTATCTCGAATGCACAGTTCCCTGCTTTGACTCCTGAGAGCTTGCAGGGGATGAGCTACTCCTGCTTCCTTAAAAGAGAACTCAGCCAGCATGGGCCAGACATTCTCTGGCTCCCTTAGGACCAGGGAACACAAAGCCACCAAAGAAGCAAGGCCCAGCTTCTTGCTACTGTAATGGAAAAGCTGACCCTCAGACACAAACATCTCTGATCCCAGGAAGCAATGCAAACACCATACCTGGTCTGCTGTAGAAGTTGCTGAACACCTTGGGGCAGGGCACCGTGACAGTCTCTCCAATGTCTGCAGGGCGCCAGCAGGTGATGTTGTCCCAGACACCACTGCAGTCTGGAAGGAGATGCGAAGAGTTAGGTGCAGATCATGAGAACATACTGCTTGGAAGGATGGCTGGAGAATGAGTGTCTCTATGTAAATGTTCTGCGAGAGGAAAACTGGCCATTAGACAGCTGTCAAAGCATTTTTTCCCCTATGAGATACTCACATGAGGCTGTTGAGATAGGAGTAGCTTGTGTGTTCATTTTAATACCTCCGAAGAAAACAAACAGGCCTGTGATAGAAAGTGTGTGAATAATTCAGTGTGCACTGTGTAGCTTTATTTACTTTTTTAAACTGAAGGTTAATAATTGTATACACTTATGGGGTAGATTAGACGCTTTGATACAATGTATGTTTTGAAGGATGGGTGAATTGGTGTATCCATCACCCCAAATGTAATTTCTTTGTGGTAAGAACATTAAGGATTAATTATCTTAACATTCTGGTTTACACTAACTATAGTCACCCCTCTATGCAATAGATCACTGGAACAGGTTTTTATGGCCCAGATGAAACTTCATGCCATCTAAACAGTGGCCAAAGTTGGCCTTTTGGTAACATCATTCTACAATTTGCTCCACGAGACAGAATTATATTTCACACAAGTTTCCTCTTTTGCAATGCTGAATTAGATTCCAGTGTATTCAGCCAGGCGTTGGTGGCGCACGCCCTTAATCCCAGCACTTGGGAGGCAGAGGCAGGTGGATCTCTGTGAGTCTGAGGCCAGCCTGGTCTACAGAACGAGTCCAGGACAAACTCTAAAGTGATACAGAGAAACTCTGTCTTGAAAAACCAAAAAAAAAAAAAAGTTTCCATTGTATTTCTATACCACATAAAAAAAGATTCTATTGTGTTTCTATACCACATTTTTTAAAACAAAAGAGACTGGTTATATTTTTCTTGCTGATTTGCACCTTCAGCGTGGTAAACTGGGCTCCTCATGGCATTAAGTCTTGTGGAGACCTAAGTCTGGGACGACTCCAGGGTAGAGCCTGTGGTCTGGTGAGCTGAGCCTCGTTAGAGCAGGGGTCATCATTCACCCACCTTAAATATTTTCAGATGCTTAAGATATTGGATGACACTCCCCTGGGTTTGGTGGACCTGGGATCTTCCTGTGTCATCTTCCTGGACATCCACTTGGGAGTTCTATTCTCCCCGCAGTTGAAGGGGCCGACAGAGCTGGGGGTGCTAGGTCTTCTGCCATTCTCTCAGCTCCCTTTCTGTCTCCCCGAAGGGCTGTTGGTCAGTTTCATAGACTCGAGTCTCAGCTTCGCTTCCTTCAGTCTATTTTCCTGCTCAGTGAGGTGAGGGGCAGGTTCTGCAAACTCAGCAGGTTACTATGGGCTCCGTCCATGGCAACCTGAGCTTGCTCACACACATGCTGGGATGTAGGCTTGGACCTGTGTACCTAGACATTATTCTCCCCTACAATGGATTGCTCTGGGAGGGCTGGGCTCACTAGTGTGAAGGAACCCAAGGGAGCCATGTGAGAGCTGTGTGGCTGAGAGAGGCTCCTGGGTTGTGTCCACTGTGTGCAGTCAAGAATGACACTAGCCAGTGTGAGCAGTGCCACCAATAGGACAGCAGCAGGGAGGGACATATCTTCCATTCCACATTCCGGGGGGGAGGGGGAAACAAACAAATAAACACACCCAAGTTTAAAATCACAGAAGCAAAACTTCTTGCAGAAATGAGGCAGGGCAGGCTGGCCCAGATAGTGCTTGTGGCAAACTCAAACTGCACAGCCTTCCCAGTCTCTCGTCATCCTACAACCAATGCCAGGGCTGAGGGATGAATGCTCCCAATCCGACATTGTCCAAAGATCTTCTGACCAGTCACTCGTACGGGATATTTAAGTACCTCCCATCCCTGTGGTACGGGATATTTAAGTACCTCCCATCCCTGCGCCCCTGAGTCTTCAGACACCATTCTTTGCTGTCCCCGCAAAGCTGTCCATACAAGCAGCCAGACATCCCCCCTGAGGATGATGTCCAAAGGACTCTCTATTGCCTAGCATCGACAGAAACAGCCCTGGCTACAAATGATGCTGATGTAGCAGAGGGTCCCTACACGTAGGCCCTGCCTCAGCGTTACCCTTTGGGCATGTGTCCCACCTGAGCAGTGGGCTTGCGGCTGCAGGAGTGCTTTAATGTGAGGAGATGAGAAGGGAGCAGGAGAGAGACAGCAAAAAGCCATTGCCACTTACGGGTAGGAAGAAAAGTGGTGAGGGCCTCAGCTGTGACAGCTTAGCTCAGCTGACTCTTGATGGAGACACGAGATAAAGGCAGGTTTTTATTATAGAGAGTGTTTTCTTTTTATTTTCTTGCCTCAGGAGGGGCCAGACAAAGTACTTCTTGTACCCTGGCCATTCCTTGCTCAGAATTTGCTGTGGCCAGAACAGCCATCTGGCAGGACACAGGATCAGAGTTCCTCTTGGATTCTATGGCTGTGCCAGGCTTCCCAGGTCATGATCCAAGGAGGAGAGTCAGGAGCAGAGAATATCCTCTGAGAGTGCCCCCTAAGTCCTGTGCAGGGTTACTTGTTCTATGGTTCACCTTCATGGTGTGTAATATATTGATTTCGGGCTCCTCTGTGTAGGGTTCACCTATCCAGAGTGATCCAGTGTGAGGCACACCTGCCCAGGACACACCTGTCTAGGACACATCTGCCCAGGACACACCTTCTCAGGACACACCTGCCCAGGACACACCTGTTCAGGACACACCTGCTCAGGACACACCTGCCCAGGACACACCTGCTCAGGACACACCTGTTCAGGACACACCTGCCCAGGACACACCTGCTAGGACACACCTGCCAGGACACACCTGCTCAGGACACACCTGCTCAGGACACACCTGCTCAGGACACACCTGCTCAGGACACACCTGTTCAGGACACACCTGCCCAGGACACACTTGCTCAGGACACACCTGCCAGGACACACCTGCCCAGGACACACCTGCCCAGGACACACCTGCTCAGGACACACCTGCTCAGGACACACCTGTTCAGGACACACCTGCCAGGACACACCTGCCCAGGACACACCTGTCCAGGACACACCTGCCAGGACACACCTGCCAGGACACACCTGCCAGGACACACCTGTCCAGGACATACCTGCCTTGCCCAGGACGCACCTGCTCAGGACACACCTTCCCAGGACACACCTGCCCAGGACACACCTGCCTTGCTCAGGACATACCTGCTCGCCTTCTTGGGAGCTCACTTGTGCAGGGTGTTTACTGGGGGGGGTCTCTTGTGCAGGCACACCTGTCCAACATTCACATGTGTTAGGCACATCTGTGCAAAGGGCCCCTTCCTGGAGCTCACAGGTGCAAGGTGAGCTTGTGCAGTCCTTAGTGTTTTCTCAGGTAAAGTGCCTGTTGAACAAGGAGGCCTTGGATTACCCTAAAAGGCTCCACTTTTAAAGCAGCAGAGTTTTGGAAAAACTAATCAACATTTTTGCCATTAGACCTATAGGTCCTCTATGCCTGTCATCAATTTAAGAGACACAGAGCTGGAAGGAGTTGGAAATTGAATTGGGAAAGATAATTTTTACAAGTGTTTTGTCCTCCTCTGAATTATGCCAGCCTATTCTGACCTGAATTGCCCTAGACTCCTGCTTGTTGGCCTCACAAAGACACTACCTTGTCTTGATAAGGGAGGGCGTTGTGCTCATGAAAAGTGATGTTCAGTGGTCTTCTGAAGGGTCAGGATGGCTGCTTCCACACTCGACTGCTAGGCACAAAGACCGTAGCGCAGGCTGCTCACCGTCTAGAGGCCGTACTCTAACTGTGCGGAATATTTACTCACAGCCAGCCACAGAGTAAGAGTGAAAGTAAGATATACGGAAGTAAGAAAAGGAAAAAGCCCAGAGGCAAAAGGTAGATGGGATAATGTAAGCTAAGAAAAGCTGGCTAGAAACGAGCCAAGCTAAAGCCTCTGTGTGTGTTTACTTGGGAGCTGGGTAGTGGGTCCCCCTGAAGAGCAAAGAGTAAAAAGAGTAAACCAACAACAGCTACCTGAAAACTATGCAGGCAATTCCAGTGTTGCTGCCTCAATGATGCTCTCACAATTAATCCTAATAAACTTAACGGTTCATCAAGCTGGACTGCGAGGGGGACAGCTTCTTTTGTCTGTTGTTGGCACCCTATCCACCAGGGTGAATATGTTTGTTCATCCCCTCCCCCTAGTAAGAGTCATACAAGACAGTTTGCAACCAAGGCTTCCTGTCTTACTGCTCGCTGTACAGGAGGCCTCAGAGCAATAGATACATCTACCCAGGAGGCATGATGTGGACCACCTGGGCCCAGGCTTCACAGCTCCTAGGAATGTGAATGTGATGTGCTGTCTTTCCAGCCTGGGGATGCCTGTGAACGTCTGAGGAGCCTGGCTACTCCAGTGGCTACCCAACAACCCTTGCTCTTCTGAGTGCCCTAGGGTCCCAGTTAGACACTCTGAGGGTAGAGCATGATTCTCGGAGTTTTGCAAGCGAGAAGCTCCATCCTTTTCTTTTGTTCCGAGGACGCTTCCTTTGCTCTTTTAAAATATTGCCAGTGAGGTCAGACCTCCATCCGTGCATTAGCTCATCTAGGTATGCTGCCAAATGCCATTTTAGGAAAGCCGCAATTAGGAACAATGACAGTCACTGAACTGGGAGAAGCAGAGCAAAGAAACCCTTTGAGGGAAATGCCCAAAGCAGTAGCCCGTCAAGGCTAATGAATGAAGCACTCTTCAGGACGCATGAAGCTCCCAAGGAAACGGTGCTGTTCTCAGGAGACAGTTAACGTGGGTGTAGGTGACCACACGTGAAAAGATGATTCATGGGACAGGCTTAGGGTCTGTCAGGGACCTAACCATCCACAGAGATGGATGCTAGCAGGCATACCACTTCCTTCCTGTTGACCGTGCAGCTTTTTAAATGAGTTGTGGCCGTGCTGCATGAATGCATATATATATATATATATATATGTATATATATGTATATATGTGTGTGTGTGTGTGTG